AGCACAATATTACTGCTTTTGCTGTATTTTGGATCAAATAAATGCAGGTTTGGTGAGAAAAGACTTCTTTAAAAAACAAAAAAATATTACTGTTCAAAAACTTTTGACTGGTAGTGCATGTGTGTATCACACTCATATCACATCTAATTGTTTTGGATAAGAATAAAACGTCAGGTCCGACAATATCGTGTCTTTTTTAATTTAAATCTAGATTTATTCGCATTGGCCTATGGAAACCTCTATGAACACGCTTGACTTGACTAAAAAAGCGCGGGGGACGAATTGACATTTTATTAAAAAGTGTTTACGTATTCTACACTCATGGCGCACACAAAAAAACAAAACATTTTGTCCGCCCCTTAAGTGAGAGTCCAAACAGCTGATTAACGCATCACGATAATCCACACGACTGTATATTTGTAAAATAAAAACAAATCTATCATTAAGGCAATTTTAATCTTTAAACTGGTACTGCCAAAATACCAGTCCATAATCCATAATAACACTTCCTTCAGTGAAAAAGTCCATCCCGTTATCCTCTCACAACGGTGCTTGATCTGTGCATATTTCTCTCCTGATTCAGACAAGACGATTTTTTCACTGGACTCGTAGTTAAAATGCCTTAATGATAGATTTGTTTCTTACAAACATGCAGCTTTTCACTTCACAAGACATTAATTGATGGACTGGAGTTGTATGAATTGCTTGTGGATTATTGTGATGTTTTTATCAGTTTGGATAAGTGATGTATTGATACACTTCTCTAAATCTTTTCTGATGAAGAAACAAACTCATCTACATCTTGGATGGCCAAAGCGTAAGTACATTTTAATTTTTGGGTGAAATATTCCTTTAAGAGAAGAGTGCAAGTTACATGTCCATAACCTTTAACCGTGTCATAGACAGCATTAAAACATCTTCAACCAAACAATAAAAGTTATTAGGTTACTTCTAGTTTTTTTTTTACCCCATCTACTACATAAGGCTCTGTTTCTTGACAAATAACTGGCCTCTATCATACTGTTCATGGTCTCTTTAACATTACCTTGAAAATAAACACATCTGTTCACTATGCTTCACAGTGCTGATAAACACCTACCAGTTTAAATTCTAAAACTAAGATGATTTATACTCATTTAACAGTCAGGTGTCTGTTCTTATCCAGCTTTAATTTTCTCTACCACACACACACATACCAGTAGGTTATTTTGAAGAAGTAAAGTCTTTTAATTTAGTCCTGTAACAAAACGTTGATCATGAGTTGATCATGAGGTGGACTCTGAACAGTCATTACCAATGGTTTGACAATTTGACCCAATTAAAAGCTTATCGCTCAGGTTCGGATGACGGCTGGGACATCAACAAAATGTTTTGTTTTTTTCTCAGAATGAGCAAACTTTAACATTAAAATATCAGTATAAACATGATGTACTACCAACAAAATGCATTAAAACATTTGCAGAGCAAAAAAAAAGCTATCATTGTAATAAATGTGTTAAAACTACATTTTGTCAGGCAGCACATATGTATATTCTTAAACCAAACCCATACACTAACCCTTAACAGTGTTTTCATGCACAGACAGCTGTGTTTTAGTCTCTAACAAATTAGAAAACCTACATATTTACATTAAATTAACTACACATTTAATGGTAACCTAAACACCTCCATAACCAAATTCTAAACTCTATTGGTAAAGAAAAGTATTCCACAAATCAATACCTGCAGATAGAGAAGAATATCACAAACCGGATAAATTCGGATTAAATATAGATGTAACATGACAAGCCTCCAAAAAACTGTAATGAATACTTTACATGAAAAATGCATAATATATGTTTAAGTTCTATTAAAATACAGCTACCTCAAAAGCACATCTTTATTATTATAAAACTATACTAGAATTATACAGTAAAACATATCAATGAATACACTTTCATGTTACATTTTGATATATAAGCATACTGTTGACCTAGCCACTTGCTGATGGATAGAGTCTTGAATTTTATATCTTTAGACTTTGTGGTATGTGTGCCATAACATGTTTCTACATGTTACACTGTGAAAGATGGAGATCATCAGACCAATTATAATTGTTCATGTAGAGAACTCTGTGAATGCTCCTTTCCCCAAAAAAGTATTACATATAAAATCATATTTTACAAAATAATAATAATAATAATACAAATTGCCCTAAATATAATTTCCTCCACTAAATACACTTTATACATTTTTATGTTTGTATATGTATGTAAATTATACATAATTTTTACTTAAAAAATATATATTTTTAATTTAATATTAACAGATTTTTATTAGCATGTTTCAATAAAACTACTAAAATGTTTAGTTTACACCAGGGTTCCTCAATAGGCGGCCCGGGAGAGAAAAAAGTTTGGCCCGTGCTAATTTCAAATAATGTGGCATGAAAATTCAAACGCAGCATCGGAAAGCTACATTAACTTGCATCGTGTCTACACCGGACGCGAGTGGCGCGGCGCGACGCAATAAAATACAAGAACTCGTTATAATCAGTGATGCTGTCTTGGATGCGGCGCGACACGACAAATCCTCGAGAGTAAACTGCTGACTCGTTCTATTTATAACGTAATGACACAACGTTCAAATGATTTGCAATGCTTTGTCGCGTCCAGTGTAGATACGATGTGACAGCAAAAACATGGCGAGTCTGTAGAAAAGAAAAGTGGACACGGAAAATAGATGATTCAAATGTGAATGGACTGAACAGTTTTGAGTGAATGAGTGAGTTTGTGATATCTTTGTCATGGAATACACGTGTTGGTTCGCAGCGAGTTCACAGTTTTAACGTTCAAGTTTGCTTCAACCCTGCTTCAACATTGCGAGTAAATCACTCGCATATGCGACTAAATCTTCACTCTGGCGACTAAATTATGTATAATATTAGCCAATTGCTAATAAATTCTCAGATTTTACTCGCCAGTGTGTGAGTTGGAGGCTAAGTATAAGTTTAGCTCAGATATATTTTCACTCGCCGAACACTCTCTGACTGAGCGCATCAGTTTCACCCTCAGAGAGAGAATTGACGCGCTACACATGCGCGCTACATGTAAACGATATTCTCTGTTGTATTTTGCGGTCAAAATAACGGAGTTCCTTTGGAATTATTCTGCTTTTAAGAACTACCGCTTTCTCTGGTAGTGGGCGGAACTAATGCGCAAACGGCAATCTCATTGGCTGGCGCTCACCTATTATAGTCCCTGTTTTGATTTCAGCGAATCAGTTCGAGCGAACTGCACACAACCTGAGCGATTCAATTGCCAAGGTGTTCGTAGAGGGCTGTGCTTTAATTTATTTTCAAGATCTGAGGTAAAATATCTATTGTTGCTTTCACTATGGCTATAAAGATAACGCAAAATAATATTCAAACTCATATTAGACACTTTTAACATTGAATAAAGCACATAATCATTACCTGAGATTATCGCTGTCATATTTTGTATGTTGTTCCTGCCGCGACGTCGCAGAAAATAAAAACCGTTCCTAAAATAGAATTCCGTGTCGATTATTGTCACGTGTCGCTGATCCATATTTTTTTGTTTGTTCATTTGTTTTTAATATTCAACAGGCAAAATTCTTCTGTATCTAAATGCACAAATTTTCATAATTGTTTGAATAAAACAGACTACTGGGGAAAACAATTTGAATATTCATCTATTGGATATCTGAATATTCAACTAATTGAGGAACCCTGGTTTACACCGTCAACAACCAAACAAGAACATTCGATTTTAAATGTTGAATGTGCAACTAAATGAACATAAATATGCACAATAAAAAGTTACAGCAAACATAGCTGCTAAAGAAAATCTAGCAAGATACACCTACTTTTTGCCCTCTCTATCAATCTCCTCTGCCTATCGCAGACTTACACAGACTTCTCCCATCCCATAGATATAAATGTCCTGCCCATGCAACACATCATTACATAACATATGTGTTTACATTCATGTTTTTACAGGTGTTTATAATGTACTATAAAATTTGAAGACGTATGAAATATTGCCAGATATTAATTTGTGCTCTTGAACATTTATGATGAGAAACATTACGGAAAAGATATATTTAAAAACTACACTGAACAAAATTCTAAACGCAACACTTTTGTTTTTGCCCCCATTTTTCATGAGCTGAACTCAAAGATCCCACTCCTCTTCAACGGCTGTGCGAAGTTGCTGGATATTGGCAAGAATTGGAACACGCTGTCATATACACCAATTCAGAGCATCCCAAACATGCTCAATGGGTAACATGTCCGGTGAGTATGCTGGCCATGCAAGAACTGGGATGTTTTCAGCTTCCAGTAATTGTGTACAAAAGTGTTGCGTTTATAATTTTGTTCAGTGTATATTTTTAAATTATTTTAAATATTTATTTCATAGCTTGATATTAAATTTCAGTTTTAAATATCGGTCAACGGGTCTTGATCTCCGGATTTATGACAATTATTATAGGGTAATTAAAAAATGGTCACACGTAAAAATGTCCAATGCAAATCCATGGTGACTGTATGGCTTATAAATATTAATTAAATAACGTGACAGCATATAACATAAGCGTAAGTCTTGTTGTATAGTGACGTAGAAAAACCATCTTGTTTCTGTGTCTCGTCAACTTGCATTGTTGATATTTAGCACACTGTTACATAACAGTGACAGAGACGCGATTTAGACATTAATTCATGGCGTATAACTAGCAATACAAACGCGAACCGCTCGACTTGATCTTGCACACCAAATAAGTTAGGATTTCCGGATATGTAGCCTACCGCACAAACACTGCCAGTAGAGAGAGGTGCTGCAATGAAACACTAAAGTATTTTAGACAAAACAGTGTAACACGAGCAGCCTGAATTTCCTATAATACACGACCCTAAAGTAGTGTAAAATAAAGCAAGCAAAATATAATCCGTTTGAAAATGCATTTGTTTCAGGTTAACGTGTCTGGAACAGATCAGTAGTTACTTACCCATAACCCGATCACCCCTTTCCTGTCAACTCATCATTAGGTCAAATCAGATAAACAGCTTCTTTTTTAAATGCACTGATAATCAACACGTACTGTTACGTCGTCGATCGCGACTTTCTGCTTCACCTGCTCTTGACATGAGCGGCTATTCTTCTTCTTCTTCTTTTGGTTTTATGGCGGGTTGCGAACCAACTTCATAGGTGCATACCGCCACCTACTGTGATGACTGTGATGGAGAATGTACCATTTCTCACCTAAATCTTAAATTCTGTTCATTATTCCACAATTCTTAAGAAATCTCATGACTGCACTTATTTGTTTTCCTGCATTTGGACCATCATTCAGAATACTACTTAATGAAAATTCTTTAACTCCTAAGGATTGTAATTCATCTTTAAGTCGATCTCTTTCTCTTTCATATGCTGTACATACCATCATAACGTGTTCCACTGATTCCTCTGTTAAACAAACATTACATAGACCAGTATTATGTTTCCCTATAATGTATAGTGTTTGGTTAAGATTTGAGTGTCCTGTTCGTATATGTGTTAAAATGACTTGTTCCCTTCTACTTATGTTATGAATGATTTTTCTTCTCTTTATACTCCTTTAGTAGTAAACCTTCTTTCCACATCATGTCATATGCCTTTTCAATATCAAAATACACTGCTACTAAACCCTCTTTCATTATTATAGCTTTCTTGACATCTGTCTCCAGCTTTATTAATGCATCCAATGTTGAACGACCTTGTCTAAAACCATATTGATAAATGAGCGGCTATTACTCGCTCGTGCGGATTTAGTTTCAGCGAAGCTCCGCCTCTAGAGCGCACTCACGAGCAAGAGTAAGTTTCCATTCCTTTACAAAAATGTAACTTACTCTGGTCACTTATAAACTACTCGTGCAATGTAAGGTTCAAGTTGGACAACAATAGAGCACATTCAGCATGTCAAACATTAAAACTAGTGTCAGTGAAGATTAACGTTCTCTTCTATGAGATGAAACAAAGACCCCCTAGCGGTAAATTCAGTTAAATGTTTGTTATATATATCAGTTACAAACACTTAAAAAGCAGTTACAGTGGTTACAATATGGTTATTGTATCCTTGCTGGGGAAAAGAGGTGGTTTAGCCTTGTGGCCAGCTAAGATGAACAAAACACCTTAGACTTATTTAAAGTTTTTGTGCGTGTGTCTTAATTATTTCAGCAGCCCATGTTTGTATACAGTATATTCTCACCAACACTTCATAGTTACGTCCATCTTCCTGACAACCTCTGTGTATTGCTCTGGTTTCATTTAAAATAAAACTCTACACAAGACAGAGATACAGCTATAGATTAAACAAAAATGTAGCTCAGCATATTAAAATAATAATAAATAAAATCTAGTTTATAATACACTTAGAAATAAACACAATATTGCTATCTATATACATATAAAGAAGTTTAACCTACTTGATGTTGATAGTTGTTTAGTTCGTTCTGTATACAACTTTAGCATGTATGTGGCTTATATGAGACAAATGCTTTGAGCTGTGATATATAGTAGTTAATATGCCATACAATGATCTCCATATGCCACATGTTTGCCTTCGGGAGCAGATGAAAACAGGAACAGGACTAAACCTCAGAACTACATGTCAGAGAGCAGGTTCAGTGTTTGATCATTGATAAAATAAGAAACAGCGGGTGGTGCTCCTATAGGTCAAGCTAAGAGGAAAACTTCCATACTGAACTATACATTTATGGACAGACAGGTAATGTGTGCATGAGGCCAGTTTTTGTCTAAGGCCGGAAACAGGTGCCAGCTGCTCCATTGTTCTTATTCCAGCACCACCCGTAGAGAAGCTGAGACACTTTAGGGTGAGTCGAGGGGTCTGATCGGGTGAGTCGTTGTGAGCTAATCGCAGGAAGGAAGGGCTAAGAGGTGAATTCTTTGTTCTTCTGGGCTCCAAGAATCACACAGGCATTGAATTTAGATTTGAAACATTTCACTTCACTTAATAAGTGCCTTGATTTACTACTTTTAGGTTTAACCAGGTCCACAATTGAGAAACTCTCACTATTCATGTGATTTTGAAGAAGTAGGATTGCATGAGAACAGCTGACCAGGGTTAACTAAAACCAAAACCATAAAAAATATATATTTTTGTTATTTAAAATAACATAAACATTATTTTAAAAATTGGAATTAAAAACCCATAAACTTATTTTTAATCTAGTTGCCAAGGCAACATTTCTCATATTCATTGTTTAATTGAAATAAAAATATATACTATGTAAACATGTTTAAAAAATCAACACATAACAAAATGACTAAAATTTAACTAAATTAAAATACAAAAATAGAAAATAGAAATAAAAAAATAAATCACCATGATGCTAAAACTGTAACAGACAAACACAATTAAGAGAAATTAATTTAACTTTAATTTATATAAAATAGGTCTTTGTCCAGCAAAAGAGCACAACATAATATTGTTGATATCATTATCCTCATCATCATCACTCTTTACATGTATATTAGTTTGGCTAGTGTGAGTCCTCAACCTGCTTGGACTCTCAGCAACTATAATACACCATAAAAATCATGAAATGGTCTCTTCAACATAGGTATCATTAAAAAGATACACTGAGAGGCTAATCATCTACAAATGCTCTTTCTTTCTTCTTACTTAAATACAAATAGGCTCCAGGCCTTTTTAATTAGTATACTGATATACCGAATAACTGGTAAATAAGCAATTAAGAGGTTATATTTGAGTTTGCCATTCAGGTTGTTCTGTTATCTTCTTAAATAGGAAACAGAATATAGTACAAACACCAGAAAGGATCCATGAACAAATATGAGCAATACTTTTGGGCAAAACAAACAAAATAAATAAAATGACAGCATATTAATTAAAAAAATCATACAAATTTATCTTTTAGCTGTTCTTTCTCAAACATGCTTAATTCCTTCATTACACTTCCTTTCTTCTTTATATATCTTCCTTTCATAATCGTTCTTACTTTCTTGCAGAATTCCATATATCCAATCATTTTTACTTTCATTCAGCTCTTACACTTCCAATCTGAACTCCTAATAAACATCTTCTTCACATGCTGCCACAAACCATCTTTAAGTCTTAAGAGCAAAAAAAAAACAACATTCCATATCTACTGAAGTATTTTCAAATAGGCCTAACATGCTTCATTTTACTGTCTTAAGCCTTATTTGGACAATAATTGTTTATCATATTGTCACAATATTTTCATATTCCCCAGGGGAACAATTACCATCTGAATAGGGCTTTACACTTTTTTTGACAATGATTTTCACCGTGTTTCCTGCCACAGAAAAAGTGGCCAATGTGACAACAAAATACTTTTTTACAACAGCATTAACTATGATTAAATAGCATGAGGAACATAAAGTATGCAAAGCAAAATAAATAATAATATTTGAACAAATAATAAAGATAATAGTCAGCACATCTAGTGCAGGAGTACTGCATTCTTGGAAGACTACATTCATTATAGTCAAGCTGTCCTCGAATGCAGCACTCCACCTCTTTAAACTCTTTACAATACTGTTTTATAGATCCATCTTCAGCCTAAATCTCCAGTTTAGATCTTGATCTATCTGAAGAAAGCACATATAGCACCGGTGCCTGAGATGTTTCGACATGCCCCTCAGCAAGCTTGTAGCAGTGTGGGCCCGGGTTGGTACGGGTCAACCAGAACCTTGTAGCGGATCTTGGTGTTGGTGATTGCGCCATGTTTCTGTCTCAGGTGAAGCCTCAGCTGGCTCTTATGACGGAAGTGCAGGTGACATTTCTCACACTGGAAGAAAAGATTAGAGCAGAGTGAGATTTCAACATCATTTTGCAGTAGAGAGAGGTGTGTAGTTGTGTATATATATTAGATATTAAAATATATGTGTTAAAATATAACTGACGCTGTAAGGCTTCTCTCCAGTGTGGATGCGCAGGTGGCTCTTCAGCGTCTGCAGGTGGCGGAAACGTGTTCCGCAGGTGTTACATGGGTACGGCTTTTCCCCAGTGTGGATCAGAACATGGGCACGCAGGTGAGCTACCTACAACACACATACACATTTTACAAGAATATAATTTTAGTCTAAATAACTCTTTTTATTGATGCTTTTCAAAAATAGAGATAAAAAAGAAAATGAATCAGCATTTGTTTATTAGTTTTGACATATAGGTATGCATATGTGTGTGTGCATAAATAAATAATTCATTTATTAATAAATTATTGTCCCAATTATTGCTGTATTATATATATATATATATATATATATATATACTTATATATATATATATACTGTATAGAAGGCTTTTCTCCAGAGTGGATACGGGAATGAGTCTTTAGATTTGCAGGCCGGTTGAACTGTGCTCCACACACATTACAGCGGTAAGGCTTGTCTCCTGAGTCAGCGGGAACATAAAAGAGTGAAATGAATGAGAAAGAGGTCAGAACTAGTAATAATAAAATGTTCATCATTTAGCTTTTAAATTTATAATTACAATATAATTTATTTTAATTTTGTTATGATATAAAGAACCTTCTCAAAGTGCTTTACATAATAAAAACAATAGTACAAACATATACATGAAACTACATTAAAAAGTAAAGATTTAAAGGGGTCATATGATGCGATTTCAAGTTTTCCTTTATCTTTGGAGTGTTTC